CAAGGATTAGTGAGCAGCATCAGAGCCACTATCCAGGATCAAATAACAAAGATCCATGAATACATCACGAAGATGGCCCCAAGTGATGACGCGCTTAGTGAATACCTCAGGCAGCAGAAACCAGAGGAACAAGGGAAGGAAGAGCAGGAACCCTCATGGAAGGTGCACGGTATGTACCACCATCAAATAGTAGAAGTGGCTGATATCGAAAAATCCTACCAGTCGCTGGACAAAGCTGGACTGAAAGACAGCACAGAGGCACTAATCCTGGCAGCACAAAACATGCTCTAAGTACAAGATCAATAGAGGCCGGGGTCTACCATACCAGGCAGGACCCCAGGTGCAGGCTGTGCAAAGATGCCCCTGAGACAATCCAGCACATAACAGCGGGGTGCAAGATGCTAGCAGGCAGGGCATACATGGAACGCCATAACCAAGTGGCTGTCATAGTGTACAGAAACATCGGTGCCGAGTACAGGCTGGAAGTCCCAAAGTCAAAAAAATGGGATACACCTCCAAAGGTGGTTAAGAATGACCAAGTCCTGTGGGATTTCCAGATACAAACTGACAACTGGCTAACCAACCGGACATAGTAGTGGTGGACAAACAGAAGAAGAAGGCTGTAGTGATAGATGTAGCAATCCCAAGCGATAGCAACATCAGGAAGAAGGAACATGAGAAGCTTGAGAAATACCAGGGGCAGAAAGAACAGCTAGAAAAGATGTGGAGGGTTTAGGCACAAGTATTCCCCGTGGTAAAATGAACATTGGGGAATTCATATATATATGTGTGTGTGTGTGTGTGTATACACATAGATAGTGCCTTGGCAGAGGCAGAGCAAAAAACGGAGAGCGCAGAGCTGGCAATGGTGGGAGAGATGACTGACAGGTGGATGAGGAGGAAGAAGAGGACAGGGAAGATGAAGAGGTAGCTGGCCTGGTTGCATGAATGGTTGTGAGTATGTTATGCAGGTAAGTTGGGAGCAACTACTCACAGGAGGATGAGGCAGGAGCTGGCTGGGTTGTAGGAACGGAGGTGAGTATGTCACACAGGTAGGTTGAGGAAGTGGCTACTCACAGTAGGTTGAATGCACACCATCTCAGAGTTGTTCAGATGCATGGAAACCAGGATCTGTTCAGGAATAATACATAACTGTTTGGTGAAGAGCAGAGAGAGGTGACAAATCAACCAGCAGGGAGCTAACAGAAAAGGGCATATATACAGTATAAGGAGAATGGACCAGGAGATAATGAACAGCAGGTGGATGTGATGGTGGCCAATTAGTAGAGCTGACATGTCAGGAGAGACAGGGAATCAGGGGAAAAACAACAGAAATATGGGAAGCATGAGTCCAAACCATGACAGTGGTTGATAGTGTTGATAGTCTGCCTGGACTATCAACACAGGTCCCCCCCACAGATGTGTGCTCTCCCCACTGCTGTTTTCACTCTACACCAACAACTGCACTTCAGAGGACCCCTCTGTGAAACTGCTGATACATTTCTACAGAGGGATCATCGAGTCTGTTCTCTGGACTTCCATCACTATCTGGTTTGGCTCAGCAAACAAAGGGGACAGGAACAGACTCCAGCAAACAGTCAGGACTGCGGAAAATACCATCGGTGCCAGTCTACCCTCCATTGAGGACCTGTACACATCAGGGGTCAAAAGGAGGGCGGAGAAGATTTCTGCAGCCCCCTCACACCCTGGATACAAATTGTTTGGGGCCATCACACTAATGAACACTTAACCTATGACCTTGTAAATACACTTTTGTATATATCAGTCTGAAAAATGCATACTATCTCATTTCATCTCATTTACCATATACCGCTTAGTCCCGAATGGGGTCGCGGGGGCGCTGGAGCCAATCCCAGCCAGCATTGGGCGAAACGCGGGGTACACCCTGGACAGGTCGCCGGTCCATCGCAGGGTCAACTGTGTATATATATTTCTGTATCTATAAGCACTTTATTTTTATTATCCTAATGCATATTCATTTGTCTTGTTTGCATATTCTTTTTTGTTCGCTCAGCCTGATATTGTTTATTTGTCTATTCCTTCATTTGAATGAGGGGAAGACTGAATACATCAATTTTAGCCCTGACTCTACTCACATCGTACCCGGCCTGGGAGCTTCAGCGCCTTCATTCACTCAAACTGAAAAACCTAGGAGTATTATTTGATAGCAGCCTCAGATTTGACAAGCAGATTAGTTCTGCTATACAGGTGCCTACATGCTTTTTGATTTTATATTCTGCAATCTTATTTTGTACTTTGACTCATTTTTATTGTACAGGAGTTTTATAGTTGCTTACAGACCGTGGTTTTAAATTTGTGTCATATAAACTTTTCCTTTTTGTTAGTTTATGTCTTAACATGTTCTGCTTTTATTTTTATATGTTTTGTTGTGAAGCACTTTCAGCACCCTTGGGTGTTGTAAAGCACTATATAAACAAATACATTATTATTATTATTCCTTGCTTTAAAGAACATTGTATATACACATTGAGAGCCATTATACCAGAGTGAAAATCCTGTGTGTCCTACACACCTGGCCAGTAAAGCTGATTGTGATTCTGAGTTTGAGTAAAACAGGGTCTAAAGTGAGGGGGCCGCAAACAAAGTGGTGAAAATGTCACATTTCCTCAAGTTTGTGTTCTGATTGTTCAACATCAAATAAGAAAAATACAAGGATATGAATATACCAGGGAATGTTTGTGGATTTATTTGAGGTTTGTAGCTTAGACTGCAGATATCATGGGTCGACCTCTGACATTCTTTGTGGGAGTGTAAACGTTTCTGCACCAAATCTTTGTATCTTTAGTGCCGTGCACATGTACTACAACTCCGAAACTGTTACAGTATTTTATTTAATGATATTGTATATTTTTTCTAAGTGAGTGCAGACATTTTATTTGTCTGAACCCCAACTTCAACTGTAGTGGAAATCTTCTATTATTCATAGTAAGTCTCAGTCCAGACTTCTGAGTTCTATATTTAGCCCTTTCACTCCTTTTTAAAAGAAGCAGTATGTCACTGCAAGCTTCACAAAACTAATGAGTGAGCAAGCTTATGCGACTCCCCTCCTGCACATGAGTATTATCTCTAGTTTTGTGGTTTGTGCTTGAGTGGTTTCCATCAGAAGTGAGGTGGTTTCTGCTTTATCTGCTGTAGGTTCTCTTGACCACTAGCACACCATTCTCTGTAGCATTTATAATGTAGACACACAATTTATATACACAAGAGAGAAACACGCATTTTATTATAGTATAAAAGGTCAAACATAAAATTTATTACTTCAGTTACATAGGTATTTAATCAGAATCAGAATGTGCTTAAGAATGCAAATATCACACTGTAAACCATTATTTTCCTGCATGCACTTTGTGAGAGAGTGAGAGACCACTCCTTCTCAAAGTTCCATGTTTTCCTCTCCAGAAAAAAAGCTGTCACCACAGCAAAAGTTCTCTGCAGGTATATTAGTACCTGACAGAAGATAGGAACATTTTCCTCATTGGAAGTGCATAAAATAAAAGTAATTAAAGCTAGATATATGCCATTGATACTTTACGTTGCTGCTGTCAACTTTACCTGGAATTTATTAAACAATCAAAGATGAAGTGTCCCCAAATTCTTAAAGGCACAGAACAAAGCTAGCATTAGCCTAAACCCGTGGTTCTCAAAGTGTGGGGTGCGCCCCACTAGTGGGTCATTAATACAAGTAAATTAAAATAACATCAGTTCGGGGCCCGGGGGAAAAAAATGGAACCATAGTGCAACAATAACAATAACAATGACATGTTAACTGCCGCGCAACAATATAAGGAAACGTTCACACAGAGGGCAGTAGGCATAATAACGTAAATGGATAAACTTGTTACATGGACCACAAAAAAGTAGGCGATTCAGTGCAAGCAGACAAAGAAACGACAGGCAGTAAGCCTTATCAACCAAAAAGCCAGATGAAAAGAAAATATGATGAAGCCTATCTTGCGCTTGGATTCACGGTGGGAATGGTGGGGGCAGAGGAGGGACCCATGTGTGTCTTGTGTCTTAACCCACTGGCAGCAGATGGCATGAGACCTATTAAATTAAGAAGACATTTAGAGACAACACACCCCAGTCACGTTAATAAGCCACTTGACTTCTTTAAAAGAAAGCTGGCAGAAAACCGTCAGCAGAAAAATCGCTTGGTAAAATCTGCATCAGTGGACAGCAAAGCACAAATGGCTTCCTTCAAAGTTGCATACAGAATTGCACAGTGCAAAAATCACACACAATTGCTGAGCAGCGCATTCTCCCTGTAACTGTAGACATGGTGTCGATTATGCTGGATGAGACAAGTGCTGCAAAATTGAAAACTATCCCTCTGTCAAATGATACAGTTGCACTTATATTTTATCTGATTTGAACTTGGTGTTATTTGATATGAAAATAAATTTGAAATTTTAAAATTGGCCGATTTCGTTATTTTTTTGACAAGTGGGGCTTGAAAATTCACCCAGCCTCTTAATTGGGGAATGACAAAAAATGTTTGAGAACCACTGGCCTAAACAGATAAAGCCCAGTTTCTGCACGGTCGAGAGAAACCATACCATTTTAACATAACCTGTAATCATTCAAACTAGTGTATTAAGAAGTACCCACATGCTTCCTCTGTTGATGACATTAAATCTTGCACTAAGGAATTCTTTTGTTCTTTGAATCAGTGTTTTATTCAGAAGAAGTACATTGGACATTGTTTGACTTGGAGGTTCACTGATAAGCTCTTGATACAGCTCTAAAAACTGATTTTGTCATATCTGACTGAAGCATTTTTCTTTGTTACATGCACATTCTGTATACATAATTGCCAGTTAACGATTTGTTTTCAGGTTTTGGTTCTTTAAGCTGGCTGCCTTGGTGGTGGTTACAGTCGCTGCCTTTTACATTCCACATGGACCTTTTACCTACAGTAAGTTTGCATTCTAAACTTGTGGTACTTCAGATCATGACATCCAATAATGTTTTGATCATGTATCATAGATGTGTAACTGAATAAACCTGTGTGCCTGTGTTGTTGCAGCATGGTTTGTGGTGGGCCTTGCTGGAGCTTTCATTTTCATCCTGATCCAGTTGGTGCTGCTGGTGGACTTTGCCCACTCCTGGAATGAGTCCTGGCTGGACAAGATGGAGGCTGGGAACTCCAGGCGCTGGTATGCAGGTCAGTGACTCCAGCTGTGGCTCAGTAAAATTCTGTACTCTGTGGATGAACGTGTTTTAGGGGATTTCTGTATCAAATCCTATTTCTGCCTTGTGTTTTCAGCTTTCCTGGCTGTAATGATCCTCTGCTACATCCTGTCAATTATTGCCATTGTGCTGATGTTCATCTTCTACACCAAGCCTGATGGATGCTCCCTCAACAAGTTCTTCATCAGCTTCAACATGCTGTTGTGCATTGTGGCCTCTATTGTCTCTGTGCTGTACAAAGTACAGGTACACTGATGGAGAGCAGTGTGGAACATTCAGTCAGTCAGTCCTTTGCTGTAATAATGCAAAACCATGACACCCAGTATTACGGACACCTGTGCAAACTGGTAATATTTAGAATATATACAGGGACACAAAGCAAAACCCATGTGCGGCTAACCATAACAGTGGCAGACTTATCATCAAAATTCATAGGAATATGGCTCCTTGTTTTCAGAAGTGGACAAAAGCAGCATCTCATTTCTGGCTGGTGACATCTCATTAAATGACAAATGTCACTGGCAGATTTTATCAGCTGTGGCTACCGACAGTATGTAACTGAAGGTCGCACTAGCAGGATGCTTCAAATCCACTCTGCTCCACCCACGGCTCCCTCTCCCTGCTCCACTTTACTACAACCAGATATTTGTCCTTATGAAATTACAATAAATGACAATGCAACAAAACCTATTGATCAAGCAAAAATAATTGAAAACCTCTAGTTGGTTAGATAGGTCAGTCCCACTCAAAAACCTTTAGAAGCTAATATTTCTGCACTGCTGCCAATGCTGTTCAATGAGTCTGGGTCACAGGAGGCTTTGGCAGCACCTGTCCACATTAAGACAAGGTTTGGAGCAGATTTCTACAACAAAAATGTTTGAAAAACATTACAAACTGTTGCTTCAAGCTGATGTTAGCTCCTGAATTGGATGACTGACTGCTTTCAGCTGCCTTATTTTAAAACAAGAACTCTCTGAAGGGGAATTAAATAAGTACATGCACTACATGCATAGTGTAAAAATATAAGGCTAAAGTTAACAAATCCCAAGTTATGAGCCTGTATCCTCACCAGCTGTAATTATCTATGTAGAAGACATGGAAATACAGAAACAACATTATATTTGTGTATTCTGTGTAGACCTAGTTTTAGGTATGATAATGTAAGATCAGACATTTCATTCTAACATAATCCTATGTGGCTAATATGAATTATATATTTGAAAAAGCAGGACATAGGCCAGATTGATGCTTTATTTGTACTTTTCCCATAATGAACACAACTCTTTCTCAGATAACATGCATTATTGGAGCGCAAAATTCCCCAATTCCCAAAATGTAGTAATGCATAGAGCAAAGTCTAAACTCTGGTAAAGACCAGAAACAGCTTCTACACAGTGGAGAGAAACCACACTTTCATGCTGCCATGAAGGGGCTTTTATGCTGTAACATAAAATGGTGAAATTCCTCTGGCCTTGGAAGTAGCCTAATGTAATTTAGATTTTCTGGGTCAGTCAAAGTTACTGTTTTCCAAAAAATCTTTATTTTCCTTACTACAGCCCAGTGAAATCCAATGACTAACAGGTCTGCTTAACTGAGGTCTAGACATAGAAGGCCTTGTTTGTTTATAGCTTGTAAGGCCCTTAAAGGTCGATTTGTAACTTGTGATTTTGGGCCATATAAATAAAACCCACTTGACTTATAATGTTCCCTTTTGGACTTCAAAAGTCATCTCAAATGGCCACATCCTTTATTGAACTTCACTTAGAACCTTACACTCATACAGGCTTATTGTAAATGGAAACCATGAGATCTAACTTCATGTTTATGGACATATTAATTATCACCAGCCATCAGTGTTTAAAATTGTCACAAAGTAGTGGACAGATGCTAATCTCTCTTTTTTCCAAACATATAGCAATGAACATCAGATCACCAGTGTATTTGCAAAAGAATCTTAAACCAGAGGTGCACTTACCAGCCAAAGTTTTTAAAGTTAAATTTCCATGCTTCATTTTGAGATGATCCATTCTGTATATGAGTTGCCAATTTAACATTCAAGTGTAAAAAGTAAATGTACAGAATCTATAGAGTGCTGACTGCTTTCTCTGTGTGTGCCTTCCAGGAGGTTAGGCCATATTCAGGTCTTCTGCAGTCCTCCTTCCTCACACTGTACACCATGTTTCTGACCTGGTCTGCCATATCCAACGAGCCTGGTGAGACTGTTTGTTGGTTGCTCAAAATATTCCTCTAATCACAATAATCATATGGATAAAAAAATAACAGCCTTATATATTAGATGCAAACAAGAAACTAAAAAATTCTGGATTTGGACTGGGTGAAGGGTCATTTTCAAGCTGCTTGGATTTTTCTCCCAAGAACATGTGAATGTCAGAAACATGTCTGCACCCAAGGTCTCTTATTTTCATGATCAGTCTCTGTTACTGTTCCTTCTTGCTGTACACACTGAGCTGTAGTTTCAAACAATGTGCTTGTTTTTTCTCCTCTGCTTAGACAAAGCATGTAACCGCAGCCTGCTGAGTATCTTTCAGCAGATTGCAGCCCCCACACCGGCCCCTCTGATGATGGAGAACCAGATATTTGTGGTGATCAATGGCACAGAGGAACCAATGCTGACGTCCCCATCCCTGCAATGGTGGGATACCCAGAGCATTGTGGGACTTGCCATTTTTGTCCTTTGCATCCTCTACTCAAGGTAGGGTTACTGCCCCGGGGTAAAATCTCAAACATTGTGACTACTAGCAATCAAACATGGCGCCCACCGAGGCAGACGTGTTTGCGCGTTCCACTCTCAAATGCCGGCTTTTTCCTCGTTCTCTTCTTTATTGCTTTTGCTATGTTTATTGTGTGGAAAAATGGTTTATATGACGTTGTAGCTGAGGTTTCGCTGAACATTTTGATGTATACATTGTTGGGGGTTGGCTATCACAACTCGCGTAGCATTCCTGTATTTTCCGTTCAGCCCGAGGGTCCCCTTTGAAGGGGACCTTAGGGTCATCGGGCCAAGTACGCACAGTCCTGAGGAAGATCAACCCCTGCAAAGCAGCAGGACCAGACAACATCCCTGTGAGGGGTCTCAGGGCATGTGCCAAAGAGCTGGCTGATGCTCTCACCACCATCTTCAATCTCTCCCTCAGCCAGAGCATCATTCCCACCTGCTTTAAGACCACAACCATAATCCCCCTTCCCAAGAAGAGCCCAGTCACCTGCCTGAACGATTATAGGCCAGTGGTATTCACCTCAATCATTATAAAGGGGTTTTGAGAGAGTGGTGCTGGCCCACATCCAGAGCAGTATACCGGACTCCCTGGACTCCCTGCAGTATGCCTGCCGGCCCAACAGGGCCACCACAGATGCCATCACGGCTGCCCTCCAATATTCCCTTTCTCACCTGGAAAATGGAGATTCTTACATCCAGATACTCTTCATTGACTACAGCTCCACCTTCAACACAGTTGTCCCCCACAAACTCACCCACAAACTGTCCACACTGGGTCTGCACCCCACCCTCTGTGACTGGCTCCTGGACTTTCTGACTG